TTGAGAATAGGGTTCCAGTGATTCGAACGCCCGAACCATCTCTTCGGTTTGTGCTGAAACAGTTCTGAGGGCGCCTTTTATCAGGAGGGGCCCAGTAGAGAGCGGAAGGGTTCAGGCGGCCCCAAGTGAGATTCCTCCTCCTCGATTGGGAAACGTGTATGAGGCCTTGCCACGCATGCCATGGAGCCGCTGCAGTTCAGAAGTCTAAGGGCAGAGAATGAGGGGGTTGGCCAGCGTGTGCGGTGACTCCACGCGGGGGCTCCAGGACTCTGCCCGGCGGCCCTGGGGGGGCCGGGGCGAGGCCTCGGGCGGGGAGTGGGGGCTGTGCGTGGGCGCGGACTCTGCAGACACAGCCCCATGGGACTCCCAGTCGGGAGGTCTGCCCAGGCCTCCGCTCGTCCTCTCCGTCTCCTTGGGGCAGTCCCTGCCCTCCAGCTCCGAGGACAGTGTGAACTTGGAGACCTTAGCCACAGGGGACACGGAGGCTGAGGAGCTCTCAGTAGGACTCCAGCGGCCTCGCTCCTGGGCCTCCCGGGCTCCTGTCAGGTCGCTGCCACCCCAGGAGAAGCCACTGACCCAGGCCTTGGTGGGCCCTGGCAGCAGGGTGGGGTGGGCCCCGGGCCGGGCCTGCACCATCTGGATCCCACCGATGGGAATCAGGGGGCACGGGGCGCGGGCCAAGTGCTGTGAGTGCAGAGGGAGGTGGCTGAAGATGTTCTCTGTCCGGGCCGGCATGTGGCCGTGGAAGTCGTGGCGGGCAGAGAAGGGTCGGGAGGAGACCGGATGAGCAGGGCCAGGTGAGCAGGAGGGACTTCGGGACTCAGCCTTCTGCTGGGGTGAGAAAACAGGACAAGGTAAGGCCAGGTTACACGCTCGGCACATGGACACCCCAAGGCCTAGAAGAGGAGGGGGCATGCCTGAGATCACAGAGCAGCCCCCGCTGAGCTGGGGCCTGAACCGTGCCAGCCCTGCCCACGACATGGCCTGCGCTGGGCCCTCAGTCTGTCCCCAGACATACACTGACCAGGAACACGCTCAGGCCCTCGCCCGTCATGCCTCCGGCCAGCATGCTTGTCTGCAGGGGAAATGGGTGCTCGAGACGGGGTGCTACTGACCCCATGTGCTTGGCCCTTGCTCTTGGTTCTGCGGAACCTCCTGCTCCTAAAATGGTCTTAACCCAACTTTACCCCGGACAGGAGTTCCCACTGAAGGCTCTTGACCTTCGCGTACCACCAGGAATTTTAACATGACCCCAAAATTAAAAACCAAGGAGAAACTCCTACATTATGTTCCTCCAGAAGCGGGAATCTCTGAGTGATGGTGTTGATGCTGCTGGTGGTGGAGGGTGGTGTTGGGTCATGACAATATCGTGACAGAAAAGATGCTGGAAGGTAAAGGCAGGTTAACAAGGAAGGTGTTGTCAGTGCTGGGGATCACGGCAGCATTGGTGACAGTGACAGTGTAGGATGGTGATGTGGTGACAGTGATAGTGTAGGGTGGTGATGTGGTGACAGTGATAGTGTAGGGTGGTGATGTGACAGTGATGGTGTAGGATGGTGATGTGGTGATAGTATAGGATGGTGATGAGGTGATAATGACGGTGTAGGATGGTGATGTGGTGACAGTGATGGTGTAGGGTGGTGATGAGGTGATAGTGATGGTGTAGGATGGTGATGTGACAGTGATGGTGTAGGATAGTGATGAGGTGATAGTGATGGTGTAGGATGGTGATGAGGTGATAGTGATGGTGTAGGGTGGTGATGTGACAGTGATGGTGTAGGATGGTGATGAGGTGATAGTGATGGTATAGGATGGTGATGTGGTGACAGTGATGGTGTAGGGTGGTGATGTGATAGTGATGGTATAGGATGGTGATGTGGTGACAGTGATGGTGTAGGATGGTGATGTGACAGTGATGGTGTAGGATGGTGATGTGACAGTGATGGTGTAGGATAGTGATTTGGTGATAGCGATGGTATAGGATAGTGATTTGGTGATAGTGATGGTGCAGGATGGTGATATGGTGATAGTGACGATGTAGGATAGTGAT